ATAAGCTTTTCATTTACAGTTAGGAGTTCTTTACCAACAATGAGTCCACTTTGCTTACGCTTCTTAAGTATAGCTCCCAGTTTGTTGACAGGAAATGAATCGGTGACGATCAAGATAATCTGCTGTTTTTCTTTCTTTGTTATCATTGTAACATGATTCCATTTTTGATTGTTGTTATATAATAGGCTTTTATAACTATTCAGTAGAGGCTTCTTAAGACATTGTCTTGTGCTCAGCTTTTTCCTAAAGCTATGTTGCTACATAGACGTTGCATTTCTTATTTTTGATAACATTTTATAACAGATCATGACACAAATACACATGTAGAGGCAAACTGATGGACACATGTATGTGCTGTGTAGACTTTTTTTGTGCCTACATGAACCAAGTAGTCATTCAACAGAGGCGAGGGGTGGAAGGGGCAATTTTCATTCTGTGCATTGTCTAGTTATCGTCTTACTACAGGGATTTACCTCATTCTATTTTTTTAAAGAACATTTGGGGAATTATACACAGGACGGGATACATTTTTGTGTTATTTATACATTACTTTTAAAAGAAAAAGCTGAATCAAAGTGAGGTATAGCAATGGAAGGAGGGATATAGGTGACCAGGGAAGTAGATAGACTCTTGACCAATAATTGACAGCAGTTTCCATTTTCTCAGCTGCACTTTATTTTAGAAAACAAGAGATAAGCATCAGGAAATAAGTCCGCCACTGTAAATATGCTTTGTTCTGTGTTGTGCAGTCGCATCAGTGCAGGTGAGAAAAAAGGATTTGGAGCAGTGACGAGTTTCTGTAGGTAACTAATGTTCAGTACCAACCTGCAGTTTTCTTGCCAAGCAGCAGTTAAAATGGAGCTTTGTTAATAATGACACATTTCTGTTATGTGCAGTTAAAACTACACTTTCTTTTTTGTTCTATTGATTCCCATGCAATTTTTGACAATTTAGAGTACTCTTTTCTTAGGTTTCATCCCAGGCTCTTGAGTTTACATGTGGGAGACAATATAAGCTTTTCATTTACAGTTAGGGGTTCTCATTCCTGGAAGCACTGAGCCTCGAGGTCCTTGTAACCACCGGGGATCCTCCCTCAGTCTGACGCAGTGAGGAGAAAGTCCTCTCAGGCTTTGTTCTTGCGAAGGACAAGCTTGATGTACCATATTCTAGGTATTTAACTGCTGATAATGTACATGATATATGGGATATAGTTTGATTGTTTCATTTGTAGATGTTTTCTTATCACTATTATTATTTCTTTAGAATAAATCAATTCTGAACACTATTCTCAAGTTCCTTTTTCGTAAAACGAGGCACTGAGAAATCTGCAGCACTCTAATAAACACATTCATGACAATCACACTGATGGGAAGCTGTGCTCCCTGTTGATGGAGACATGTTGGCTCACATACAGCACAGTAACAGGACTGTAAGTAAGGCTAGGCTCAGCTCATGGCTCATTCAGTCATACCAGAACGTGGATTTAATATCTGATTCCTTTCATGCCAATTGTTTTTTTGTTTTTTTTATTTAACTCCTGAATTTTCATTAAAATGTCATGTTCTGCTGTGTCTGAATTAGCTGAGACCAAATGAAAACAAATCTTAAGAGGGGGTAACATGAAGGTTTAGTTGTGTTTTGGTTCGGGTAGAGAACCAATCTTTCCAACTCTGTGGGGTTGCCATATTGCACATGCAACAAGCCAAAGCTCAGATCTCATTCTCGCTGAAGCCATAAATGCCACCCAGACTCACTTGAGCTGCTCAACTTCATTTTAGATTCCTTTCCATTTCAACTAAAGCAGAGTCCCAAAGCCATCAGGAGAAGTCATACAGTTTCTGTTACAAAAGGAAATTTACTCTTAAAGGTCAGACCACTGAAACCTAATTTACTTAAAAACATTACAGACCTCAACTCGCTTATTTCTGTAACATTGAATGTCTCAGTCTAAACATGTGGAGTCATGATAAGGTTTTCGATGTCCTTGTCGGTTACCAAGTTGTTAAATATGGAGCTGTAACGATGAGTAGATTAATTGATTAGTCGACTGAAGAACAATCAGCAACTATTCTGATGATTGATTAGTTTCAAGCAAAAATGCCAAACATTCTCTGGCAGCAGCTTCTCCAGGGTGAGAATTTGCTTTCTTTCCACTGTCTTATGCCTCTTCTTATTATATTGTTAACTAGATATCTTTAGGTTTGGGACTGACAAGAAACTATAAATTATTGAAGCTATAAAGGCAATTTTCCACTTTTTTTCTGACCTATAGACAAAACCATGAATTAGTTAGTGAAGAAAATAATCTGCAGATAAATCAATAATGAAAATAATTGTTAGTAGCAGTCTTAGGTGTTCTGAATGTTTCATAATGATACAAAGATAGGCTTTGCTTTATAAGAAAATGAGGTCAAACTGAAAATAACACCCTTGCGTTCCAGTCTGTTTGGATATTCGCTGTTCCCAAAAACTGTCCTTCAGAAAGCTTTTGTCTTTGTTCTGTTCAGGTGCTGTGGCTGTCAGAGAATCAGTTGTAAATCTGTGTTACTCTTTGTGTCCGAGTAGCTACATACTACAAAGTAGACAACATCTGTGAATATAGCTCCAGGCTTTTGTGTTGTAAACTAGGCAGGAGTTTAATGACACTATAGTAACTTGCTTGTGAATGTAATTCAGCAGAATCTGCTGTTCAAATGAGAGGGTCTGATCATCATTTATCACTTTATTATGCCATAAACACAAAAGTTTTTCATGCTTGTAACTGTTTGCATATACAATACAGAGATTGCTGTGTAAATTTAAAACCCTAAAACTAATGTTTAGCCGATATGTCCAAGTCTGTACTAGTTATCCCGTGCTGTGCTAATCCAGTCGCTTGTTAACTTGGTAGAAGTTCCCCTTTCTTAAATGAATGCTTTAAGCGTGGGCTGGGGGGGGATTCACTGTGTACCTGTGTCCATGCCTCAGATTGGTCTAAATGCTTTTCTTTAAAATCACGTTAAGACTTAAAACAACCCAAGTCATGAATTTGCACATCAGCTCTGAAATCACTAAACAGTGAATTTGGAAAATGAACTCATAAATGAGCTGTGGAACAGAATAGGACCTTTTCCTTCAGTGTGTTTTAAGGGTTCAGTGTGCTATCACTTGCAGCCACATAGGGGCAGTATATGTTCTCCTACTGTCGCTGCCCTGTCTTCTTGGCAAAGATCATTCGCAACGTGCTGTAAAAAAGCCATTTTAAACTTGGTTTGTGTAAATGTGAACATGTTAAAGATCATACAAACTGAAAAATGCTGCTGCACCACTGCACATTTTATAATGTTTTCAATAAAATCTACTGAAAACCTGAAATAAGTCTGCTTGGTTTTTTTAACAGATGGTGCCACAAAGAGGCAGGCATGAGTTTAAATTTACTTTGAAACAGCATTTCATCTATTGTGGTTATGTGATAGAAGACTGGATCTGCAACAGAAGCTGTATCTACTTCAGCACGAGACATGAACCCACATACTATACCATTAGCAATAATCAGAGAGGTAGGTATGCTAATGGAGCTTTATGTATGCTTGATTACATTCATTTCATTTGGAGCTGCCCGTCGTAATAGTAGAAGTTCCTCCTGCTTTCACCAGTTACCTTCCTAATCTTCAGGCAGCTCCTGGCTCAGGTGTTAGAGCAGGTTGCCCACTGACAGTAAGGTTAGGGGTTCAATCCCCTGCTCCACCTGCCTGTCTGTTACAGTGGCCTTAAACGAGAACACACATTCTTAAGTGTTCCGTTCTCAGGTTGGTAATGTTTCTGTAAATTAATGTAGTAGTAATAACTGTAATTACTTATTCAGGTAAAGCTGAACATTTTAAAATTAATGTATAGGCAAGCATACAATTCAACATATATTAAGTTTAACATTTCCAATAATAGCTCAATCAAATAGTTACTTGGGAGTAAAATAAGCAAGTTTTTGAATTCAGCACAACAAACCAAATTGTCAATTTTACTAAAAATTAGTCCCCAATTACATAGTTCTTTCCAAAAAAACATTTGAAGAAATAAACTTGTTTCCCAAGTACAGACCATTTACATTTTATGAATGGAAAATTATATTGATTTGTCATTTCTGTGTTTAATTTTGTTGTGAATGTGTATCCAATGAGGAGCCCGTAAAATTGTTGATTTGAGAAGTGAAGTCTCACTTCTCTTTTATTGCATAGTTTCAGCCATCTTTCAGCCATCAGAGGCCTCTTCCCACAAATCCCATTGCAAACACATGAAACTAGTTCAAATAAACTTGCATAGCCCAGTAAACTACAATCAAACCCAGGGAAAAAATGGATCACATTATGTAATGCATTTATTTCCTGGAGTTCTCACATACCTCAGCTTGTAGTGCATTCATCAGTACAGTTTAAAAAACTCTCTTAATTCCCTGAAGCAGCTGGAGTGTATTTATAAATAACCCCTAAAAGCGATACAAAATGCTGTTACAACTGACATAAAGCAGTGCATTGGATATTCTCAAAGCTTGGAGCACATTATGCATAGTAGAGTACAGAGGGCTGTAAAAGGAATCATTTCACAATCAAAATAAAAGCAATGTAACACTTTGTGCTCTAGAAACAGAATATTATTTATGCCTGAGATCTTCCTCTGAATATATACACACACGCACACACCACGGTCACTTTGGTTTAAGGTTTAAAAAATGTAAAAAATCAGTTTAGGGACCTGGATGTTATTTGGTGATTTTACGGTAAAAGGCACAACACGAATGTTCTTAGAATCAAGTTGGAATCACGTCTAACAGAATGCATAAATGTGCAAAAATAGCATCAGTGTGCTCAGTCTGATCCCACACGTCGACAGATCTATCCGATGACCTATAAATCAAGGCTAAAAAGACACATTAATAGAAGAATTTGCAAAGAATATAAAAACTAGTACTAGAAACAAATCTCAAAACGCGGCAGAAACTGTGATTCGTTTTTCTACCATCCAATAGCTGCCTATATTCAGGGTCCAAAGACACTTGTTGAATTTTAGACAATATTCTTTTTGAAATATATTCTGAAAATAAAAATGGCCCTCTTCATATCTACGATCGGACCAGTTTGAAGCCTTGGCCGGTGTCCAGTATTGCTGGTGGAAACCAGTTAAGTTTGACTCTCTTTAGGCATCGCAGGCAGACGCTGCAGAGCCACAGCAGGTTCAGACCGCTGCACCACAGCGCCAACTGGACCACCGGGTATGTGATCCGAGGGAAGTACATGCTCCAGTGGTTGGTGACATCACTTCCTGTCGGCAGGTGCAGCGTGTAGTCACTCCAGTGTTTGGAGATGCCGTAGGTGGCGGAAACCGCCCTGCCCCTCTCACACCACTTGATGGTGCTGTTTGGGTTGCAGTTGTACTCCACCCACTGAGAGGTGAAGTCTCCGAGCTGCGGGGGGTCCTGCAGCTCGACGTCCGTCGCTCGAGCGAGCGTCGCTCCCTGCACAGCCACGTGCAGGCCCTCCACCTTCCTGACTTCCTTCACCCATGGCAGTGAGTTGTCGCAGTCGAGCACCAGGATGAGGCGCGAGCAGAAGCTGCCGTTCTTCTCCCTCCACCACTCCAAGATCTGGTCCAGACGAAGAGCGTCTCCTCCTGATGAACACAGAAACCAGCTGATTACAGATCACACAAACTGTGCTCATATTACTAAAAATAAAACTTAGTAACAGTAAGAAGTGGTTTACAGAGTGGCCACAAAATAATCGTATAAAATGTTCTTCCTCTTACTTACTCAAACATTTTAGATGCCAGATGAGTGACTTTTCTCACTCGTTTGCCTCTTTTGCAACACCTACATTAAAACTGTGATTTACTTAATTAAAAGAAATAGGTGGAAGGTTTTAACTTGACCACAAAAAAATATTGAAATTGTATTATTTTATACATTCATTTGTGATTTAAACCTGAATGAATAAGTAGAGAAACATGAGAAATGCAGGTGCTTTCATACAGGAGGACACGGGGGTGTCATTGAAGGTTTTGATGAAATGAACACCTACACACACCTACACACACATACAGGGAGAGTTCCAAAGGCTAGAAGGTTTGTGTTGGTTTTTCCTTGAAACTGGAATATAATAATATACTGTATATGAGTTGGGTCATTTTATTTGTGACCAATCACAATAAATGAAAAAGCTTTTTTCCCCACGAGCTGTATCTGTGTTTTAACTGTTGTATTGACTCGCCTCCTGTCACTGCCTCTTGGCGTGGTCGTCATTATAAATGGGAACTGGTTCTCAGTTGATTTATCTGGTTATAGAAAAGGTAAACTAAAATAATTAATAATTTGGATAATTAAATTGGAGTGATGGATGATTAAAACTGCAGTGAGAATACAATGCGTCATTTGATGTATAGAAACAGCCCGTCTCACCTGCCAGTGCCCACTCTCCAGAGCGGTGACTGTGACCGCTGTAGAAGATCACGTAGGTGTCGTGGCGAGGCCCGTCCGCCGTGCGAAGCTCCAAGAAGGATTTGATCTTGGCCTGCAGAGCCTCCAGGGTCACACCGCTGGTGGAATAGTCGCAGCCGAAAGCCTCAATCAGGTGGTGGGCGAAGAAGCGCTGCACGCTGTTCAACATGCCCGTAGAGCGCCGGTTCAGCTTCTGAACCTGGTCTGGAGGCAGCAGCATGGGCTGACCGTCAGGGCTGCAGGGCGGACCGAAACAAAACAGAGGAGGAAAGTGAGTGAATCAAGTCTGTTTGGATCAGACAGCACAGGTCAGCGGACGTCTACTCAGGAGACAAGTCGTCCAGCTGCCTTTGACGTCCAGCTCCTACTCCTACGGTAGTTATGCATTACACACTACCTGCAGTAGTTGGTGGGGATGACCACTGCGTAGCCCACACAGGTTCCTCCCAGGCTGTTCCCGAGCTCGTGGAAAAGCCCGTGGAACAGAGACTCCAGAGGCAGGACGAGCAGAAACATGCTCACAAAGATACTGCTGGAGGCCTGCAGGGCACAGTGACGGATCGGATCATTATTGGTTTGATATGACACTGACAAGAACATAGAAGAACTGTGAACATGTTTAAATGCTGTGGATGAGACTGCAACATGAATCTGTAAAGGTCTTACTGTGAAACAGTGAATCCTGATTAAATGTAGGGAGGCACTGTTCAATAGGAGATATGTTTATATGGTTTCTTGATCATTTAGGGGACTCAAATCATAGAATAGAAGAAACTGAGCAATTCAGCCTGTCCTGGTATGACAACCTTTCACTACAGCTGGGCTTCCTCCGATCACCTGGACCACAAACCCCATAGGGCCCTGCAGTATTCAGCTGATACAGAGTGGCATCTCTCTAAAAAAAAAAAGGACAAGAGAGTGTCTGGCCCTACCTGCCAGCACAGAGCAGCGACAGCCACAGTTGACACCAGCGTGAAGAACACCAGGCGCACAGAGATGAGGCAGAAGTGTCTCATTCCCTTGGAGGCCATGATCTTGTCCAGGCCGTTGACCCCTGACCCCTGGGACAGGCACACCCTCTGGCAGTCGCTGAGCTTGGTGTGAAAGCCCCACACCGTGATGACAAACACCATGTGGCAGATGGCCCAGAAGAGCACACACACCACGAAGGCTGGGATCGTCAGGTACCACTGGTCCAGGTCTGTCAGCTTCCGGCCGGCCAGGATGATGAAGGTCACCTCCACCATCATCACAGGCAGCAGGGACAACCGGCGCCACAGACCCCGCCAGACCAGGAACGGCTGCCAGCGCTCGGTCACAGAGAGACCACTGAAGTACACATCCAGCAGAGGGTCGCAGATGAGCTGGCTGAAAAAGCAGGCGAGGGCGAACGGGTTGGTGGTGATGTTCAGAGACTCGAAGAACAGCACGGCGGCGAGCACAGCGAAGCACACCAGGTTGGGAAGCGCCAGAAGAGCCTTCATCCGGAGGGCAACCATGACCGAGGCCAGCGCCACCACCAGCACCATCACGCTCAGGGACTTCTGGATGGGCAGCGCCGTGCTGGCGACGGCAAAGCCCGCCAGCTCCAGCCGCTCCGCCGAGGTATAGAGGGCGGGGCCGGTACCTGTGCACCCCCAAGAGCCGTCCCAGCAGCGCCCCACAGCGTCCTCAGAGCCAACCTGGCCAACAGCAGGGAGTCCGGCCGCAAACCGCTCCCTTCGGTTCCCTCCAGGTGGGCCGTGAGGAGAAGCACTGCCAGCCCCAGCAGGAAGCCCGAACCACAGGGGAGGAAGGCTGAGGCTCACCCTCTCCATGTTGAAGTAGTAATAACTAACACTCGCTATTCCGAGCGACAACCAGGGCCCACACAGAAGATGACAGAAGGCGTGGCTCCGCGTGCTCTCCCGACCGGGCATACAAGCCCAAGCAACAAGGGCGACAAGAGATTAGAACAAAAAAAGACACGAGTTGAGCATAAGTTCACGCAGGCGCAGGTGGCCGGGAGTAGCTGGGGATCGACCACGAGGATCTCACAGCGAATGAGAAATTGAAGGTGAGTGATTAAAGCTTTTTTAGGTGATGGTAAGAGGGGTGGGGGGAAGAGTTGATAATGGGGAGGAGAGGGGAGGGGGAAGGGGGAAGGAAGAAGAGAGGGAGGGAGAAGTAAAGAAAAAAAAAAAAAAAAAGAGGGGGAAAGGATTGATTGAGAAAAGGGTAAATAAAAATTTTTTGGTTAATTTTCCCGTTGAACACCTCCTCCACGCCCGGGCATGGCTGAAGTGAAGGCAGTGGCCTGATCACAGTAAAGCGCAGAAACGACAGCAATTGTTTGATACGACAGACCTGTCCCAATAGCGACAAGACAGGACACTTTAATGAGTCTACAGTCGAGTCTGCGTTCGATTGGGACTTCGAGATTAAAAAGTATGGGTTAACTTAAGTTAAAGTGACTAAGCCTGAGTTGCCGTGTAGGCTACCTAGCCGGCGCACTCCTTAAGCAGCCGTCAAGCGTCATCCCACGCTCAACACATTAAAGTAGCTACATATTCACGTTGGTATGTTTTCAGCTGATGTCCGAACCCGGTTGGAAAAGGTCCCAATGTGGACGGAGCCGAAACCGAGCGGCGTGAGTTACAGACACATCCCGTGTCATCGAAAGTTTGTCGCGTCAAAAGTTTTTGAGTCCGATGACAGCCGCCATGAACAATGGCTTCAAACTACGGCAAGAGGCAAGGGTCCAGAAATGTTTTTTGCAAACGCTTAATGCCCAGTGCCGTATAGCGCAGATTGTTCAACACTGAGATTTGACTTGCGGTTTGGTACGATTTAAATTAAAGATGGAACTCTTTTAACGCGTTTTAATATAAGCTTCACTTGTGAGCTTCACTTTGCTTTTTGCTGGAGCTTTCAACCAACATCTCAGCACACTTTGAGTTTACGTTGTTTCAAGTGTCAACAATGGGATTTTCAACTGAACAAAGCAGAAATGTGGGACCAGACCCTTCCTCACAGCAGCTCCTTTTGATGTGAAATAGTAGGGTAAACACAGGTGTTACCTAATGAAGGTTCTGGTCCATGGTGTAGCAGTGTTTCCTATGAGCAGCCCCCCCTGACTCTGAAGGACACAACCTCAATTAGTATCACTGGTAACGTCTGTGTTTACACCGCTGTCATGTAAAAATGGCTGCTGTGAAAAAGGTCTTTTGCTGCTGCAGTTATTTCTGCCTGTTGCTGCAGCACTTAACACCACCCAAGCAGCCATAAAAGGCTCATTCTGTGCTCACAATGTAAGCTAAAAGGTAGCAGGAGGATTAAAAAAAAACTACTGAAGTTATGAGTTCAAGTCTCTCCAATGCAGCCGGTCCTTTCATCTGTATTTCACATTTTATTTATAGTTTTTTTTACTTCATTGGTTTCTTTTTTGTTGGCCTTAAGGTAGTAAGGTAGGTATATTGGACTGGTGAAATACTAGGCCATCAAGATGTTAACTGTTTACCTCCTGCAAAGAATACAGAGGCACCGCCAGAATGGGTTAACAATACATCAAATCCACTACATATAATGAAGTAATCCTGCCTTATAATACGCCCCCCTGCTGTACTCATGTTTTCAACCACTACTGATCAAAAGACCTGTAATTTCGTGACACCATTTGGGATCAATGATGAGTCCTTACATACAGATTAAATATCTCCTGCTTCACAACTGCATTTAAGTACACAGAGCAGTATCCTGAATGTTAAAAAGGAACAAAATACACAATAAAAACACAGACGCCTTCCATTTACATTCATTTATAAAATAGAAATACAACCATACTAGAAGCACACATTGTTCTGCATTGTTGAAAATGTCGATAACGAAGATGAACCATCTCATGCAAATGGACCAAAAGAAACACTGGAAGACAAATGCACCAATGAATCACAAAACACGCTTCTTCAAAGTTGGAATGTGTGGTTCTGTAAAATGTTTTTTTCTTGTTGTGAAAACAGAGGAGAGATCAGCAGAGAGATGTGCATTAACTGGAAAATGATATGGGAATGGCAAGAACACACTGCATTATACCAACACTGGAAGTGTTTCTTGTTATCCATTAATATGACAAAAAGGAGAACGGGGTATTGTATGTACTGTTTGGCCAAAGAAGCTTGATATCTTTTTGTTATGTTAGGGATAAGTTTCGTTTTCTCCAGGGGAAGTCTACTTGCAACATACAGTAAATGTGAACAAAGAAGGCACCTTAGACTTACTGGTATTATTTTATGGGCCCATCATCTTGTGCAACAGTCATCATAGGAAAATAATTTTTGTGACACCCTTTGAGATCAATGATAAAGTGCCACAGACAAAAAAAAAACAAAAAACATAAACGTAAATTCATTCCTTCATTCACACTGACAAATCCATCCACACCCGCATATTTAGCCTGTTCAGGGACAGGCAGGAACACACACTAACATTTCATCTGGTAGTGTATTTAGCTAAAACCTCCTCTCCCCCAGTAGGATACAGTATCTTCAGATCTGGTCTCGCTTGCTATTGCTAAAATCTACAGTTTCTCACCTGTTTCAGAGCTTCTGTATGACAAAATGGTAAACTAGTGCAAATCTCTTCTGTCGAGGTGAATTTTCTGACGTGTGAGGAGCTCAGATCTGGATCTTTTTTTTTCGAGGCAGAGTACTCGCTGTATTTTCACATCAATGTTGTGCCAAAAGTTACTGGTGCTGTAAAGTCCATTTTTTCACTGACTTGCAGTGTTGCACTATTTCTCTGCTTGAAAACAAAAACTAAAAAATGTATTGGAAATCTAACAGGAGATCATTAAATATTTATATATTTGTGAGCACAACAAGAGGAGGAAAAGAGTGTAATACCTACTTTAAAACACTCGTACCTTGTTACACAATGAATCAACACAGTTACAGTTTCACATTAGTAAACCTAGTAATACTCCTACCGTATGCTTCTGAAAATGTTTAAAATGCTACAAATACCACTTTCTTGTAAAAGATACACAAACCATTCAGAGGATGCCAAATTAAAATGGCATTGCCACACTTAACACTGGACAACACCAATGTTTTGACTGTTGAGAATATATATTTCAAAACAATGATATTCTTTTTTTTTTTTTTTTTGTCTTGGAAAACTAAATGCACATCAAGAATTTTTCAGGAAGTCTTGCTGCATGACTGAGACAGAAGCAAGCGTACCAGTCCAGTCATCCCATAATCAGTCTCTACAGTGCAATCAAACTCCTGTCACACTGCTCAGGTTGCTGTATTTGTCTTTCGTACTAAGCAGCCTGCCACACTAGCTTATTCAAATGGAGACTGAGTACAGAATGTAGACAAGCTGACTTTTGTTATTGAGAGCTGATTGGAAGATGGGATGGAAATTAAGGAGAAGGGAGTTCAGATATCTTAAGGGCATTCGCTTTCCAACTCTTAAAAAACCTAGATATTTATCAAAATATATCCGTCTTAGTGTGTGGTATATGTATATGTGTGCGTGTATGCGTGTGTACTCTCAGAGGAGTGTGGATATGAGAAAATAATCTGTAAACTTCTCTCTTTCACTCTGTGCAAACTGCATTATTTTGAGGAGCGGGAGGAGTCGTGGGAGAAGAATGCAGCAGGTTAATTTTGGCAGCGCAGCAGTTGAAGGGGAGGTGACAGTTACGTAGAGAAGAGGAGAGGAACTGGGGGGGGGGGTTAGCTGGTTAAGCCTAGCTCTGAAGCAGGATGGGGTCTTCTAGCTCGTGGAAGCCAGGCACCGAGCTGCCCTGGCTCTCCCCAGAATCTGAATCGTAGGGTGTGTCAGGTAGCTCCGTGAAGCCCCAAGCCAGCTGGTCATCCTCAAACTCGGAGCGCACCTGCACGGGCACGTCGGCACACTCTTCCTCCTCATTGGAGTGGAAGTCCTGAGGGATGTAGAGCATCTCAGGGTAGTTGCGTGACACCAGGTCGCTGGTGGTGGCCAGACACATCTTACGGAAGGCAATGAGATGCATGTGGGAATACTTGACGTATTTGTAGCGCTTGAAGCCAAGGGACTCCACCGCGACGCGCCAGCTGCGCATCATGAGGGCGTGGCGGTTTTGGTGGGAGGAGTCGGGCGTGATGATGAGCAACAGGCCATGCAGCTCCAGCAGCTCATGGGCCTTCTTACAGCAGATCCAGCGTTGGTATGGCGAGGGGAAGTAGGACAGGAGCA